TAGTGATTTTTGTTAATTGATAGGTATTAAGTGAATATTTGTAATGAAATTTGTTAATGACATAGTTGTTTTCACTAATAATATAGTGGTTTTCACTAATTACATAGTGGTTTTTCACTAATTACATAGTGGATTATGTAAATATTAATGTGGATTATGCTTATTTTATACTAATTTTTACTTTAATTTCATAGTGGTTTTCGATAAATTTAGTGGTTTTCGATGTGTATGTAGTGGATTTTAATTTTTTTTAAATATGAACCATTTAAAAAAGTAAAAAAAAAAAAAAAAAAAAAACTTATGTTTTAAATTAATATAAAAAAAACTATTTAAAAAAAAAGACCGCATATTATACGGTTATGTTTCCTACCGTGATTTGGGGGAAGAGGGGCGAATTATACGGCAATGTGATTTTGGGATTGATTTGGAATTGATTCATTTTTTGGAGGGATTTAGTATTAATTTACCTTAATATTTAATTTAATAATTATACTAATAAGTAGGGGCATATATGGGTTTTGAAGTCCAATGGATTTATCTCAAATACCATTAATTAATTAATTAAGAGATTATCAAGAATAAAAACCCCAATGAAGGGTGTTTGACATATTCCCCCTAAAGTAAAAGCAAAAATAAATTTTGCAAACATCTTGAAACGAAAAAAAAATCATTATCTAATTATTTTTCAACTCCTCCAATAAGAGAGCGGTTCTTCCTATTTCCTCATAATCAAAGAGAGGAAATGTTACTATAATTGTTCTCCACTTTCAAGATTATAAATAGTAAAAATTAAAAAACTTTATTAAACATACTCAAACAATATATAATTCAGGATTTGAACAATCCACGTCATAATGACCTTTTTTTGGTTTCTTGATTTCTAAGTAACATTTATTGGAAACCCAACCGTCCTCACCCCACCCCCACCTCTCTCTCTCTCTCTCTCTCTCTCTCTCTCTCTCTCTCTCTCTCTCTCTCTCTCTCTCTCTCTCTCTCTCTACAAATTAAATAAATAATAACATATATAGTCTCACATGGAATTAAGGCAACACGTAGTACTATCTAATTCAAACCTCCTCTCAACATATCTTATATTGTAAGTATACACATTAGATACAAGCTGTCAAACCCTTGAATAATTTTCTCAATTTCCCACTAAAAAATAATAAATCCACAATTCATTTCACTTGTGCTTAATCATATGTTCAAACCCTTTCTCCTTTGCCAAATACTCTTTACACCATGATGAAGAAAATCCCTCTTCTATTTTACCCTTTCCTTTGCTTCTTTCTCCTCATACTATTATTTCATGATTTCTATAGCTTAAAATACCTCCATAAAACCACACATATTCACTATTCTTTCATTATCCCTCATAGAAAAGCTCTATCTAGCAAGTTTGATTTCACCCCATTTCTCCACCACCACCGCCACCGGACCGCCGGGCTTCCGCCACCTGCAGGTGGATTCGAAATTGATCCTCGTTATGACGTCGAGAAGCGAATTGTTCCTTCCGGTCCAAACCCTTTGCATCATTAGTTATAAGAAGCTTTTAGAGGGCGTCGTGGGGACGAACTACACATACAACGACTTATACGTGTTGATCGAGAAAATAATGGTTAGTGTAATGTGATTCAATTTGTTTCGAAATTAGTTCTCAATTTATTTATTCGTTTTTTTTTTTTTTTTTTTTTTTGAATTCTTGAAATGATTATATATAGCTGAGTTTTGAATTTTGTAAATTGTATGGTGAGAAACATTGATCATAGAATTTGTAACAAATCATATCATATATATTTGAATGATTATTTTTTTTTATTTTTTTATTTTTGAGTTTTGATTATGATGAATGATGAATAATGATGCTTGATATATACATATATGTGTTGAATTGATGAGTAAAGTGATGGGCAATTGGTTGCTTTTGTGTTTGAAATGATGAATGAAATCTCAAGTGAGATATGTAGATGTGACGGCACGGCAAGGGAAAATGGAACTAACTAGCTACTTAGTTCACATAATTGTATTAATTAATTAATTAATTATGTTGGTCAAAAAATTAGGAGACTTAATTACTTTGAAAACAAATCCATGTTTCCTGCTAGCCAATGTGGAATTTTGCCTTAAATTCTTGCGACTATATATCTCAGTATTTAGTTCCAAAATGGAAAAAGACAAAAGATTAACACGTTTTTAATCTGCTACTTTTAGTTGGTCAGTTTTTGCCTTGAACCATAGTCAATGCAGATTAATTTCTGGGATATTTGTTTCTTTTCTATTGGCTTTATTTTTTTCAACATTATTATTATTATTATTATTATTATTATTATTATTATTATTATTATTATTATTATTATTATTATTATTATTATTATTATTATTATTATTAATAATGCACATTTGATTCACTTGGACTGAAAAAAAACTAGCCATTAATTCGCACAACTTAGGGCTACTTCTTTTCTTGCTTCTATATGATTATAATATTGGGCTATATTTGTTGATATAATAAGTTACAACCCACAAATCAATAAATTGGTAATCCACGTGCTAAATTTAGATGTCTCAGTTTCTTTCTTAACACTGTATGCTAAGACTTTGTTTGATTTCTAAGATAAGATTAATCAAAATAAAATTAAATAACTTTATAAAAATTCAATTGTATATATTGTTGTACTATATTTATACAGGATATCCAATACATAAATCTCTTAATCGATTAAGATTAGTCATTTTTGCTCAACAGTTGTATGTTGACCAGAAAAAAATTATTGGACTAATTAAACATCCAATTATTTAATTAAATATAATTAATCTTACGAACCAAACGAGACCTAATAATATTTGTTCCTAATATTGATTCTAGGGTTAAGATTTACAACACGATGGGCCTCAAGAATTCCGATTTCATACTTCACTCTGGCTGCTAGTAGTATGAATTCAAGCCCAGCCCATCGGGTATAGCATAAGAATTTATTGGTGTACTTGAAGAAATCTAATTGTTACGAACCCTCATTAGGAGAGTTGGTACCTAGCCTTTACCACTAGGGTAACGGTCTAGGGTTCGAGTCCCCTCATCCCCTTGTAATGGACTTGAATTTACTCAAACAAAGAAAAAAAAAAAAAAGAAATCTAATTGTTTACAATTTATTCTATATTACATGTAGTAAACTACATTCAACTATCTTTACAATTTATCTACACATAAAAATACACGTACTCATGTTTTTATATGTACATATATGATTGGAGTGAACTTTATCGGGTATAGCATAGAATCGACTTCATTTACTAAAAAGAAGAATCACAAAAACATCGACGATTAGGCCAAATTCAAACATCTGGATTATTGAAAATGTGGTGACACGTAAGACATATCCCACGAAATTTTAATGTGGTAACACATAAGACATATACTCTAAGGTGTTCGTTGAACTGTTCGAAAAGGGCAGTGGCGAGGGCGGGGGCTGTGTACCCTCAAGATTTTCTTTTTAAATAGGTATTTTATACTTACTTTTCTTTAATATTAATTTTAACTCCTTAAAGTTTTTGTAAATATGTATCTTAATCTTTTATTTTTATATTTGTTTCCTCTATAATCTTATATAAATTATAAATATAAAAATCATATTTATATAACAATATAAGATAAAAGGGTTACAACTTTGTACTATTTTAAGTAAAATTTATAAATATTTACTTACTTTTTTTTCACCAAAATATTAAGTGTAATACATTATTAGAATTATTTTGGATTGATTAGATTTTATTTTTTGCATGCTTGAAATATGATAAAATTATAATATATATTATTTTAATTAAAAATTAATAATATAAACTTACTTTTACAATGTCTTGAGACCCTAAAAAAATTCATGGCACTCCCCAAACTCCGAAAATTTAGCTCTCCCCCTATATATTGATACTGATTCTGCCCCTTTAAAAGGATGACACTTAAAGGTCAATCATTCCCATCTTTGTACTTCTCAATTCGTCAACTAGTCCACCGAATATGCATCGATACATTGATTTTCAGTCTTCAATTACTTAAAATCAAGGTTCTAAATATCGGTTATCGGGTCCGAGGCGGTTCCACACAATAAATCGGTGGGGCGGTGATTAATCGGAGATATATCGGAAATAAATCGATTTTTAGGTTTAGTGTAATATATTTCTAAATATTATTTATAAATACTTAAAACGTATAAAAAAAATTGAACTTGATTCTCTCCTCATCGTTTATTTATTCTAATCACATAACAAAAGTTTAACATTTAGAACTTGATTCTCTCCTCATCGTTCTAAACGATTTTTTAGGCCAGGTTCTTCTTACGGGGTCGGTGAGTTTGGGTTTGATCAAAATAGATAATGAGTTGGAATTGAAAAATAAATAAATAAACACCATATTTTCCTGGTAATAAAAAATAAATAAATAAATTAGAAAAAATATTTTTTCGATATATCGCTCGAAGTTTGACCCAATATATCGGTTTGACCCTCCTCAGACCACCACAGAACGCCTCGGACCGCCTCACCGTCAAAAAACCGATTTTTAAAACCGCCACACAAATATCGTAAAGGTTTATGTCCGCCACCGACACAGCGGCCGATATATCGACCGCCACAACCGATATTTAGGACACTGCTGTAAATCCACCATATACATCTATTTTAAGGTGAACCGAGTCCATCTAATGTAATTTCCAAATATAAAACCTACATTTAGATGTACCATAATTATACTTTATTAG